GTAAAAATATTGGGTAATTGTAAAATTATTATATTAAGTTTAAGAAATACCAAAACTACTGAAATTTTTTGCGACCCCCTGCTGTAGATGGGGGTTGCGATCTACAGTTTAAGAAAGTCTGGTCTAAAATAACGTTACAATATTTGATTTTGTTGGAACATTGGATAACTGAGGCCACACCCAGTGCAGTTATGGCAGGTGTGCAAATTTTGGAATTTGAGTAACCATTTTGAGTAACAGGAAAACTGTTGGACTGTTGAAAACTGTTGAAAGTTTTGTACCGGTGACAATCAGTACAATCTTTCAAGGGTGATCAAACATATAAACAAACCAACAGATTCAAAATGTAGCACTTCAAAATCTTCCTCATTGGGTGTATCTATTAACAGAAAGCATTCGCGGTATTTGAAATAAAAAAAATAATGTATCCGTGAACTGAAAGGTCATTGCGTGAGAGAAAGTTCTTGACAGGTGCCATGCCTATCATACAGCAGCGACAGTGATTTGAGTAGTGACTCACAGAGCATGTGTACATTCGATTGCCAACAAGTATTTTTGAGGAATAATGACTGACCAAATGACTTGTACTATGGCAGTACTATGGCTGTTTCTATGGCTTTCTGTGGATGCTGCTTTATCTATGGCAGTAAATATTGTCGTTTTGCAACCATTGTTGTATTTAAACTCACTAAAACCGTTGTCTGCCTTGAAAAAGAATGGAACATATTTGAATATAAAACATGCCAACGAGATTACTTGCATAATTACTGAAAGCACTTACAAATACAAAGAAGCCACTTCGAGCGCTGGTTGTATAGTTAAAATTTTAGTATTGGTGTGACCCCTTACGGCGCCAACCATTCCGCTTATTATTTTAGCTTTTCCCCAAAAATATGTAAGAGATTTTATATACTGCTCAAATATACAGAGACTATATATATTTAGACTACCGAGACTGTTTGGTTATTCTCACGAGTCACTATACATTTTTATACACTAAAAGTTAAGAAATAGCAGGTTTTACAAGGGTTACCATAACAAAAATGTCAATTATGCAGAAACAATAGCTACCACTTTTATTTTATAGCAATCAATATTTATATAGGAGTTGGAGAGTAAACGCAAAGGTTGTAATTTTTGTTCACGAATGTCGATCTTCAGTTGTTATTACAGTTTCGTGGACAAATCCAGGAGAAGTTGTTTGCCCGATTCGTTGAGATGGTGGGTGATCAGATGGGTGGAAATAGAGATGTCCCAAGCTGATGTTGGTAAACGTCTTAATGTCTCTCGTAGTAAGGTCCATCGACTATGGAATCAGTTTAGATCCGAAGATTCTGTGTCTGTAAGGTATGTTTCTGGAAGACCTAGAGTTACAACACCTGCGGAACACCGTTATTCGGCAAAAAACAAAAAACAAAAAAAAAAAGGACTAACATTGCTGTGCTTCAGCTCAGAATCTCTGCTACTACAGTGCGCAGATGCCTGCACAATACAGGTCTGCATGCAAGACGACCAGTTGTTTGCGTCCCCTTGACCTGAGGACACAGAGGTGTCCGTTTACGTTGCGCAAGAGAACACATCTCCTGTACCAGACAACAATGGGCGTCTGTTCTCTTCACACACGAATCCAGGTTCCCATTCGAGTGTGATTCAGGTAGTCAGCTGATTTGAAGGAACAGCGCACCAACCGATCCAACATTGTCGAAAGACACAGTTACAGAGGTGGAGGAATAATGGTTTGGGCTGCGACATCTTTCGGTGGTCACACTGACCTGCATGTGTTCCATTGACGAACGGTGTGACATATCGAGACGAGATCTTTGATGAATATGTCTGCCCATATGCCGCTGCTATTGGTCTTGGATTTCTTCTGATGGACGACAATGCGCGACCGAACTCCGGTTGCTGAAGAGAGAATATCTTGAGGGTCACGGTATGGAGCAGATGTGATGGCCAGCTCATCTGCTCCATACCGTGACCCTCAGAACTAAATCCGATAAAGCATCTTTGGGACTATCTTTGGGAGACAGTTTGCTGTTTTAAATCCTTCTCCAAGGCCGTTAGATGAACTTGAACAAGGATTACTCCGTGTCTAGTAGTTGCTTCCTATTTCACTGACCGATATAATTGACAGCATGGAACGTTGCTGCCGCCAATGTGTTGCAGCTAGGACACATTCCTTATTAGAACCAATTTTGTAATGTTATCACCCCATTTTCCTTCAAGAAACTATGATATACTGTTTCTCCAAGACTGCATTTCTCTGCCAAGAGTGCAATTTTTTGTTGTAATTCATGTTTGTGTTGAACTTCAGAAACATTTTCTATTGCATTCATTAAAGATACTTTTAGTGAACATTTTCTGTAAATTTCTTATTTATATGTAACTTCATTCTCAAATTAGACAAAAAACGTGATGTTCCTTAACTTTTGGAGGGCAAATTTGGTTTTCTATTCTTTGAGTTTATTTAAGCTTTTAGGGAATATAAATTCATAGTTTCTAAATGGACGACATCTGCCAATGGTTAGAAAAATAATTAGAGGAAATTGGGAACATATTAATGAACAAATCTCTGTACCAATCCTGATATTATTCTGAACTGTATATTAAGCATAGCAATGCATATTCTCTATAAAAATTTTGTCCATTGCCTGCATTTATTTTTTCCGTTTTGGATTGTAAAATGGTGCTTTTTTTAGTTAAACTGACAGTCTGCTAAATATTTATTTAGGAAAAAAGTCTCAATGTCTACATATAGTTTGAAATTACTTTACCTACATATATATATAATATTTTGAAATTACTTTATCTACATATATATAATATTTTGAAATATTGAAGGTTTCGTAAATGTGTAAATAAAAAACTTGCAGGTTGTATTTCATTTTAACATTTAGTTTTATTCCAGTTGCTATTGTTTCGAATGTTGCATACATCTAAATAATTTTAGTGAAATTACATGTAAATTGTAGTACCTCTTGTGTAATGTTACATGAAAGGTCTCAGCATCACCATAAAAGTGTTGGTTGTTGGTCTATTTAACACTGAAGTTAATGGATATCTCTCCAAAGCGAGATATCGTCAAGTTGGAGATGCCTTTGACGATTAATGTTTATCACAAAATTTGGTGAGAAACCGCCAAAAATCGTCAGCCTTGGCGACCACTTGGTGATATTTTGATACGATCTTTGTAACACTGACGAACTGGCTAACCAGGTTTTGGCGACTAATATTTATCGCCAAATTTCGCGAGAAATATTCAAAAGTCGTCAACCTTGGAGACCATTTGGTGATATATTAATCCAATCGCTATGTAACTGTAAGAACGTCTGCCACTTTGTAACTTTGAAATTTTGAAAAGCATATATGCTTTTGAAAATTTTCGAGAGATCGAAGGCACTGTAAATTTTTAGACGGACGGAGAAAAACTATATAAGACTAGAGACAGCATCAGCTTAGTTAGCTTCAGTTCAAGGTATTGAGATTACCGTGCGAACTTTCGCTTTGCATTGCCTTATGTTTAACAGTCTTAGTAATTTAAAGTAGCACCTGCTGATTGTGCTCTTTCAAACTGAGAAGGACTGTTGGTATTAAAAAACATGCTGGGTTTGCTTAATGAGCTTCTGAAACCTGTAATCGGCTTAAATTCTTCTTTCTGAAGCATAAAACTAACAAGTTCGTTTCAACATTGCTAATACTATCTGAATGGTTTTAGGTTTTCTAGTCCGGTAATCTGACGGGTGCAGTCTTCTGAATTTTGGTTTAATGTATCTGTAAAATATTAGTGTTAAACACGGGGAAAAGGAGAGGCGAGTATTGCATCTACCAATGTGAGTTGATCTCCCGTTTAAGAAATCATGAGCGCTTATGTGGCACACCTACAACTATAGAGAGCTCGGAACACAAGTTTGGCAGTACTCCTAACAGACATTTCCAACTGTCCTGACTTCCCTCTTAGGTAATTTGACTTGGCCATGCCGCTTGCAAGATTTGACAGATCCTAATTACTTACTCTGGAGCTATCTGAATTGTGGATGACTTATCAATTGATGACTCCTATCAAACATGAAGTTCATGTTATTCCACTAGACATGGAGAGATGCGACATGGAAACTTTTCCGCATCGCCTTCAACAGAGCATTCCAAGTCAAGAAAGCTGTTTAGAGTAAATTAACTTTACTCTAAACTAAACTGTGTATAATACAGGGCTATATTGCCTGTATTATACATGTATGTGTATACTTGGTCGATGAATGTACGCTTACGCCGAGTGCAAAAGAGAAATATAAAAAGAATTTTAAGGAAGATTTTAAAAGGAATTATTCAAATTTAAAAGATTTTGCGCAGACGGTAATGAAGAACATAAATACGAACAAAGATAGAACTGGAAATTCGGCCCTGAGACACAGATTTTGAACTTAATATGTGCTCTCTTTTAAATGAAGAGCACGGCCGGACAGCTGGCTCTTCGTTTGTGGTTAGACTGGCCAGTACCACATTTTGGTCATATGGCTGGCTTGTAAAGGAAGATCGGAGCTGTGCCCTTATGATGATGATGTACGTGTATACTGTTATTTGCCACGCAGATTTACCAAAAGCTCTCATCATTTTTTGCCATATTTCAAGGTGGTAGATAAAATACGCCACCATGTATATAAAAATGTGCAATGATGCAAAGAAAGAATGAGATGTGTACCAAAAACGTTTAAATTGTAGTTATATTCGGCTTTAACTCGGACAGAAATATAAGGAATATACATTTTAAATAAAAATATTACCATTCAGTTTAAAATTATAAAAATATCTTATCAGTATTTAAAAATAGTTTTAATTTAATTTATTGGTTTCAAAAAAAATTTCATAACCAAAATTATGAAAGTGCAATTTGACAGATGATCAATATGATCAATAATCTATTGTTATTATAATAATATAATGAAGAATAAGATTTAGTATTTAAAAAAAGGAGCCGATTTCGCTCTCGGAGAATTTATTTATCATATGCATTTCAAATAAAAGTATAAATAATAATGTATTGTACATGAAATGAGTAAGCATTAACAATTAAAAAAGATCGTTATGTAATTCAGCAAATAATATTTTACTATTTATCGCATATTTAATTTAGAATGGTAATCGTAATAGCTTTATTATACGCATATCCCAAGCACAGTAAGTATGAACACTAGTACCTTTAGGCTGCCTCTTGAGCAATATTCTGTAATAATGCAGATATTCGGAGGCTCTACGCACGCTCCAATAAAGGGATTCAAATTATCATGATGTAAATCTCTCATCTAAAAAACACAAAAATAAAGATTAAGATGTACACTATCTAAAGCGCAGCACTTTTGCAACTGACAGCCTTAGGATTATCAGCTTAAAAAAATCTTTGAGCGATTATTCTACGCTGCTGTATCACTTCAATAAAATTTCAGTTTTACTTAACCAAGATCTTTTCTCTGGAGTAATGATTTAAGTCATATTCTTTGTTCTCGTTTTAAATGAAATCTTTATCTGCATTTTATTAATTTTGCTTAGGAATTATAGTAACACATATTTACGATTTCAGATTGATGTTTCTTTTATTTGTCTTGTTCGTATTCACGGATGCAGCTACAAGAAGGCAATTTATTTTAAATGTGTACAAAAATTAAACACCAGCAACAGGAGCAAATTTATCCTCGGAACGGTTGTAATTTTTCACCTTATACTTAGCATCTTTAGAAGTTTTCTGTAGAAAAGCAGAAATCTGTATTGGAGTTTTAGAGACGAACGAGAATTCTTGTTTGAATATTTAGTCTAGACTTCAGGGACAATGAAAGAAGTTTTTGATCTCTCCTATCTTCATATACTCGTTTTCCTAAAAGCTTCGACTTATTGAGAACTACAGGACATTTTTTGTTAACTCATTTTCGTTTAAGGTTTGTTAGTACTTTGAAATTTCCTTAAAATCTAATTTTTAATTTAGAGGTTGAATTGATTTCCCTTCAATATTTATCTCGAAAATTTTATTCCTAATCACCTCGAGTTGAATGTAGTTCGAACCCACAAAATAACTACAGACAAGAAGACTTAGGTAAGTGCCCGATGACTTGTCTTAGTAAAATTTCTGTCATAGTACTGAATTTACTATTTAAAAATCACATACTAGCAAGTTAATGATACGTCTAGATTCATACCGTCTGAAGTTATTACTAATATTAAGTACGTTGCTGAGCTCTCCAGACAGCATTATTATTAAAAATTTCGCAAAAGACTATTTGCCGTTTTTTCAATATAAAGAATCTTTGCATAAAATTTAAATATTTGAATTTTCGTTACGTAAAGTGATTATGACAAAAAGAAGCTTCTTTAAGGATACGTATGAGTGAGATTAGTATGCCTGTAGTTTTCAAATTTTATCAAAATAGAGAGCCTTGGTTTTGTAGAATCCCTACCATCCTCAGCTAAATGCATGTTAGGAAAAAAGTTTGAAAATATATTAGTGTTATGTACACTTCATGAATGAAAAGTATTATTTCATTACAACTTTTATTGAATGATCTGAATTTTAATTTTATAATTATCTAATTATGCAGTTATTAATTTATTAATCACTACTGTATTTCTGCAAATTTAATGGCTGCGATGTGGTTGTAATTTTTTATGAGAAATGTCATACTCTTGAAAAATTTCACTTTATTTTTGATGAAATTAACTGTAGATATAAAAAATATTATTTAATTAATGTTTTTTTACGGTTCATATGGTATTAAAAATTTGTTCATATTCTGATTTTAATTTATAGAAGCCCTAGAAGAGTTGCGTAACACACTACGGTTCCGCGAAGCACGTTTTGAAGACGATTGGTATCAGCAATTACGTTAACCTGAAGATATCACTTTAAAACTATAGTAGAAGGACTATTTTTAATGTAGTGAAAGGTATGCATATACAGCGAAAAATGTAGGAAACACTATTAAGCGTTAGAAATTAAGAAAATAGTTTTTTAATTTATAAAAATATTAAAATTATATTATGTAATTTTTATAGACTGAATATTGAACCAAAATTGCAAAGTATGTGGTCAGACAGTAATACAATAGTGCTGTTGTCGAATTTTTACGCAATTGTAACTTTACTTATACCTGTAAGCTGTTCTGAAATAGAGGTAGATATAAAAAAGCGGTCGCTTATCGTTCCGATCATCTATATACATTTAAGAAAATGGCAGCATCTGTTTTAAATTTTTTAAATTTCTTAAAGACTGCATTAGAATGAATAAAACTGTAGCTGACTGAATGAGATACAAAATCATTCAGCATTATGATAGGAGGCAGGGCAATTCCAAGTTTAGGGTGCAAGACAGCTTAGTCTAACACTTAGCATTATCTACAATTTGTCGAAAAGGTTTTGGTTTCATACCTAGACCTTAATAAAAAAATCTATGACCCAGTATGAAGAATGAAGATCGGTATTTACATTTTCAGTCAGAAGCAAAAGAGCCCCATAGCTATCTCGTGAGTTCATTGTTTCTTCTGGAACCTCAATTTCAGAAGCTGCTGTTTCTTGAATGCTTCTCATATGAAAGGATGGTTTTTAAGAAAACCCGCTATTTGGTTCTTCCTCAATCACTTACAGTCGCGAATATGCCAGGCATATTGCGGAGAATATCAGCCTCAGACACAACTAAATTCTCTTCAGTTATTAATCTAGATTCAGCCTCGATGTATGCTGATTCTCAATGCACATTCATTTGGCGAGAATGTGAGTGTCGATAGCATATCATTCCCATCGCAAAACAGAAGCCACTCACCATGTTGGATGGGTGCGCATTACACCATTAATTCGACAGAGGCGTTTTCCTTGACAATATCAGAGGTACATGAAGAGATACATATACCTCTGATATTGATCCTCTGATCTTACAGTTCTATGCGTGATTTTTCAGAGTAATATTGGCTCTCAGTTTTCTTTTGAGAAGTGACAAATTTCATCTGTAAAAAGGAAATGAAAAGTGGACGAAGTATCTGTCTGCTTTGTGTGGACATTCGACGTGAAATAACGAGCTATATATCTGGATTGCACCAAACTGCTGTTTTTCAAACACCTCCGAGATTCATTCAAGAGCTAAGAATTGTTTTTGTGCAAGAGTGGATGGAGCTATTCAAAGACTTACCAGCTGTCTCGTTAATAGCATGACGAATACCTGGGTCACTCACTTATCTTATAAAATTGACCATACCGCCCGTATTAGTCTCATTGTCAGGCATCGTTTCCAAAGTTAATTTCAAACATTTCTCTTCTCGCGAATGAATATTTTCACGGTTGTATGATGTAAATTGTCATAGACTTTTTTTTCAGAGCGCAATTAGCCTTCCATTTACTTACATAGACAACAACGCTTATTCGTATGATGTAAGAATAATTGCATTCATGCCATACCTTATTAAATTTTGTCTTGTAGCTTATGTGGAATTCGAACATGATTATTTACTTAAGTTTAAACAGTGTATTTTTTTCTGTCATCGAGTACATTTGTACACATATTGGGCTATGGTAGAAGGGTGTTCTGCATTGCGAAGAAGCGTATGATTAAAAAATAGTGCCCCGTGGATAAAATAACATTTTGTAATAAGTATTCAAAATAAAATTCAAAATTTCAGAAAATTAAAAAACTCAAAATAAAATACTATTTAAAAGTAACTGCCAGAGGGTGTCGATATTACAGTTGCATGTGATCTGCATTAAGGACTTGGATTCACTGTCATAAGAATGGTAATTAAATTTATTTTAGAATTTCGTTGGCATAATGACGGTGTATGACGCTGAAATAATAAACTGACAAAGATGTATAGGAAAGCATGTTTCGCTGAATAGTCAGTTCAGCTAAGTGAGACGGGGAGGTCCCTAAACGAAAGTACCGATGCTTACAACTGTTTAAATACGTTTCTGCTATTCTCGAGGCGTGTTCCTAAATTGTGATTTCTGGGATTCACTAGCACTAGCATCTTTGTAGTACTGTATAGGTTATACTCATGTGTTGAAATATAAATTGCATCAACCAAGTTGTTTTATTCCAATATTATAGTTTTCCCGAACATAGCTCAGTTTACTTCTCAAACCCCATTTCAAGCCATATGTACAAATTATAGCTGCTCTTATAAGTGCCACAATTACCTTTGCAGGTTAGAACAATTTTCTTTTTCTTTATTCGACACTTATGTTGTATCATCACTATAGGTCTAATGATTTCAAAATTTTTATCATTTACTTATTCGGTTCTGGAATGTGTATGAGCGGAATGTTCAGATTCAATAATGTTTTCAAAGTGGGATATTTCTTTAAAGAAGTGTTTTTATAATTTTAATATGCGCTGAGAAAAGTCGAATTTTGATTAAATTGATCCTAGTCATCATAAATTAATTTTAGCTGCAACAACGTATCAAAATGAAATCACTCATTTTATTCTAGTGAAAGAAAACAATGAAAATTTATAGCATGAAATGTATATTTTGAGCTTACCGTTTTCAGTTCTTTTTTCATCTTTCTTGTGATATCTAAACTCTTCTTCCTAAAACGTTTCACTGCCAGTAACCTACCTTTATAAATGCCCACCATCGTATATATATTGGAGTACCTAAAATCTCCATCAGCGTTTGAACTAAGTGATATTTGGCTCGTCTGAATTAGGGGATGGGCACCCTGAAAAATTAAGAACCTAAGAAATTATACTATCCCAACTATGCTTAGATTATAAAATATTTTCAAACAAGTTGAATGTTTGAATAGTACTTGTATTATAATCCAAAATTGAAATAATTCAGTTATTTTCAACAATAACAACAGAAATTTTGCATAGCAGATGAATGTAATGCATAAAATGCGGTAACATCTTTTAAATTTCTAAATTCCTGGAAATAAATTATAAAAAAACAATTCTAGAAGTCCATTATTTTTCTCAAACTGGATTTGTTTTGCTTCATTCTCAGTCAATAGCAGATAAAAGGGATTTATGAGGCTGATCCCTAAATGACTGAACAAAACTGACCAAAATAAGATTTGAGCATTAGTTTGGTTTCACTCTGAAGTAAAATAAGAAATTTTCGACATACATTTTCTTCCCGTTTACCTTTTTGATTCTGTTAAATAATAAATGTAAAATAAGTAAAAATTTAATGAATTATAATTTATCTATGAAAATTTAAACCATAAAAATTGCAATAAGGATTTGAAAATGTCTGCCCTATACAACGGCTTCAATTTTATATTTAATTTCGGAAAACGTCTTTTCCTTGCACTCCAGAAGCCCACCAAACTGGAACTGTGAAGAGCAAGGAACACCGAAGCACTAATGAAGAAAAGAACTATAGAAAGTTTCCAAATAACAATCCGTAACCATTAAGCAGATATTTAACTAAGGAACAGCATTTAATACAGGAAATATGCAAGATAATAGATGTGCTGTCCCAGCGCGGACTAGAGCTGTACTAACTGGGTAGCAAAATAATTCAGACATAAACGGGTTAAACAGCATCAGTTTTGTGCTTCTGAGTGAATAATAATAATCTGACTGACATTTTCTGTATAAACAATAATCTCAAACTGGCGGTTCGCGAGCTGAATACGGCAATAGAAGCAATTTTATACGGCCCGCGAGGACATTTCAGCTATGTATTTATTTCAAGATTTTAGTTATGTGAAATCCGAGTTTACATTATTGCCATTCCCATTAAAAACGAACATGACTAACTCACCAGAAAATATATATAAGGAGCTATTTAATTTGCAATGTGATATGAATCTTATTTAAAGATTTGATTAACTTTTACTTCCACTTTTCAAAAAATAAATAAGCTCAGTTACGAACTTTTGCTCTAAAAATAATCGCTTTGTTTGGAAATTATTTTTTATAAACAGCGCTTTTTTTCTCCAATTTAAAAATTAATAAGAAAAGAACTCGATTGTCCTATGAGTTCCTACAATGTCTGATGAAGAGAATTTCTACTAACTCTTTTCCAAAGCTGCAGACTTTATCATAATAAGAACTATTTGAAAGAAATGCCAGTCTAAGAATCTAACATTTAGCTCTCAATATGTTTGAATTACAAAGTGTAACCAACAAAAATGCCATAAATAGGAGATTTTAAGAAATAGGAGATTTTATTTCACACTGAAAATAAATATAAATTTGAATTTTTCCCCTTTGTTATATTATTTTTGATTGCATATGTATGTTTTGATAATTATTTAGTAATAAAATTCAATATTTATTTTATTTTTTTTTTATTTTTTGGACAAAAGTTTTCATTTTGTTAAAAAACAAAATCTGGCATCTGACTTGTCAGCTCTTTTCAGACAGTGCATTCGACCCGCATACAATTTGAGTTTGAGACCACTGGTACATGATATTTTAATATCTTTATAGGACAAAAAACAAATGATTTGAACTCATGGACATAGGAACTAATGTCTCATGTCTTGCACACGAACTTTTGTATAATTGAGGTACGCTTATTACATACATTTTTATACTTACGAATTTATCAACATTATAATACTAATAATGAATGTATACTAATCATAATGTAAAATAATATAATGTATACTAAATGTGTATCATAATACATTTAGTATTCAGCGTCATTCACAATTAGCATTTTACGCGTAACCAAGTTCATCTTTCAACATCAATCAAGCTTTCGCGTATAATTTTATCTCAACTGTATATATTTAATGCCCGTGATATATTGTGCTCTGTTTCGTGAATTCTGTTGCATTCTATTCACTATTTATCTTACTGTATCATACTGTATGTTACGCTATGGTGTTGTATATAATTATGCATTTAATCTTAGTACCATTCAATGTAAGTATGCAATAGGCCATACAACTGGCTGCTGCCAAAGAATAATGGAAGCAATGTTAGACTTACAGTGCCTTGGCTTCGCCCGTCTGTTACAGACGCTTGTTTTTCTGAGGTTGTTCTTTCAATTAATAGTGGGGGACGATGAGCAAAAGCGACTGACAGTTCTCTTCGTCCGCCGTTAACAATCCGCAATATTCCACCAACCAGGATAATGCAGAAGCCTAGTTTAAATTCTAAAATAACTCTGCAGTGCATTTTCGCCGAAGTTATAACACAAAGTAACATATTTGAATATAAAAATTTAACAATTATGACATAAATAAAAGACAAGAGGGTTCCGAAATTCACAAATTTAGTTAAGGTTTTAAAAAAAGTCTCGTAATCGTAAAATCTAATCAAGTTCGGGAAAATGATTGCGAAAATTCGTGACATGATAGTTCCTGCCATAGTCTCTTGTTTTCGCGTGTGCAAGAATTACAGTTTTATTCTGTAGATTTTCTCAAAAGGTAAATTATTCCTTTTCCATACAACATTATAAATTTTCTCTGTTCCATGAACTGAAAAACACAGCAACAGAATCCTATTATATTTTTTTTAGCATTTATCATTTGGATGAACTTTTTAAGTCAAAGATTAGAACGCATAGCTAGATCAATTGATGTGTAATAAATTAAAAGTAATTAACGGTATTATGATTTAATAGTTTGAAGACTAAAGCAGAATTTTTTTTTAAGTCAACATATGCAGCCGTGAACTAAAATGTTATATAGTCCTGTAAGGATTATGTTATGTTTTAATGAGAAGAAGCGGTATTTAAACCACGAAGTTACTTACTGAGACAGAGAGAGAAACAGAGTTTCTGAACTACGCGGGTCTGCCTTTTTGGCCGCTCTCTCTCGCAAGCTATTTTAAACGCTCGGCCGTACTCAGGCCCTTGCTAAGCTTCGTAGTAAAATAGGTTAAGGGGCCAACTCTCATTGAACCTTGATAGCTTTGGCTATACTTAGTTAGTTATCTTAGTTTTTAGTTTAATTCTTAGTCTTTTAAGTTCAAGTCCAAAGTGAGGACTTTATTTGTTCACTCCCAGGCGGAGTTTTGTTAAATCTTATAGAAATAATAAAGGGTTATTTACCCTTCTCTCTTGTTGTTTCCTGTCTTCGAACTCTAGCGATTATTCGCTTATCAGTTCCTAGGTTCCTCACTTCCAACATTAACTTAGAATTTCAAGTGAGGGACCTTACAGTCCTATCACTTCGGAGATACGACAAACGATAAGGTGAATTAATTTGTTCATTAACTTTGAAATTTTGAATAAAATCTTGATAAAGTAGAACAAAGAATTAGTTTACCTTATCAAAAAAACTTGACAAGTCAATAATCTCTTTGGTTGCACATTAAGTACCAGTAAAGCTGAAATTTTAGAATTTAAATTGTTTTCTGAAGTGGATAAGGCAAATTAACACCGAAAAGCTAATTTCTATTAAGTCTTTCAGAAAACAGGCAATATTAAATTTAAAAGAGAACTCATTTATGAAATCTAGTAGCAGAATGAATCATTTATGAATCTGAATAGTAGAAGATTAATTATGTACACATGCTGCCGTCCACAGTTTAAATGAGCTATCCGCTTTTGATCGAACATGCTATAACAAAACAGACTACGAAAATTACTGAGCCATCCTCTAAATAAAACTTAATAATGACCATAAGGCTAGGAGGATCATGCAGTTAGAAGGGCGGAGGAGGCGATATTCTTCTGGAAACACTTATTTTAAGAGGCTCTCTTTTAATGTGAGACATCACGGTTAATCATGGTTTTTCATGGTTAATCATGAATTATCCATGTAGCAAGAAACAAAAACTGATGTAAATTGAAGCAACACAAAGTGACAACTGTCTAACGAAATTTAATTGCGAAAAGAAATGGTTTTTACATTTTAGGGAGCATTCGAAAGAATCGCAGTGAGATTTAAGCTTTTGCTATGTTTTCCTTACTATCTCAAAACCTTTGTGTGAAACCTGCGAATGGCTACTACATTAAGATCACTATGACATTAATAAGGAAATATTGTAGCGAGAAAAATATTGCATATTTTTTCTCATTGCTAAAGAAGATGAAACAAAGAAAGTGGAAGTGAATTCTATTGAATTTTTTTTTTCAGTTTATTCTAAACTGTAGTTGTCAGAACAAAGTTCTAAATATTGTAATGATATGGAGAAATTTCCTCACAACTGCTATCAGTGTTACTTGTTATGAGTGAAGATTTCCTAAATAAAAATCTATTGAGAAGTACGTAAACTTGAAAGTGAATAACTTATCTTAAGAAATCTTGCTATACTATCTATCGAACAGCAACTGATGTTATAAAATGAACTTTTATATTGTATTTGGTGATTTTACTAACAGAAAATATGAGATTAGGATAACCTTTTAGACGTAGAAATTGAGATTTGAGTTAAAAAGTAAACACGTAGTTTTTTATGTGCTATTCCTATAACACATTCTATATTTTATAGTTCTTTTTGGCGTGCTCTGAGAGAGCAGCAAACTCAAAGATCGCACCGGGGGTCAAAAGCTTTACTCATATCAATGTTATGGGTATCTACAAATGAAAATAAATAACTTGATATCAAATTATTTGGCATAGTAATAACTTAATTCAATGAAAGGGACTCTGCAAATGGTAATATCTAGCTGCCCATTATTTTTCCTCAGGAATAAAATAAGTATTTCTTACGAATAGTCTTTTTAGCAATCTTGCAATAACAGAGCCCACGACTAAATTCCAGTTGAACAATTTAGGGCCTGGAAAATTCTAATTTAACCTTTATTGGTTGAATCAGTTCGCTTCATTTTTCATATCATTCGTAATTGTATTATTTTACTTTTGTTTATTTTCTGCCTTAAATAACCCATTATTTTGCAGATTTAAACGGAAAATTTTGGGCACATAATAAATAAAAGAACTAACAGAATGACCGTTAAGATCAAGATAATTAAGATAAAATTTAAGAGCACTATGCGTAATAATCGAAAATTAATCTAACATTATAAAAATCTGATTTGGACACCACATGACCTTCTTATACGGCCTATTAAATGTTCTTGTTAGAACAGCAATAAACTGATATTAAATAAAGTTAGATATTTATTGATAGAATAAGTACATATATAAACTGTTATTATATATTTAGTTAAATGTTTTAATTGTAAAAAGCTAATTTTCTTAAACTTTTGAATTGTCAAAACACGATTATTTCCATCATTTACTACACTTTTCTAATTAGAAGTATATGATTACGACTAACGGTTGCAGAAATTAAGGCCGGTTAAGGGAATATATATATATATCTATCCTTTTCAATTGTATATATATACATAATTGAAAAGGAAAAGTCGCAAACAAAATGAAAAATTAAATAATTTCTTCTTTATAAAGGCCTTAACCAATTCTTTCTCCAGAAAAGGCGTAAACCAAAAGGAGTATATTCAAAATTAAAAGAAAATTCAAATACATAAATTAAATTGAAAATAATACAAAATAAAACCAAAAAACTAAAAAACATGTATTTATCTCCTCTGTTTAACGCTTGAAACAGAATATATATATATACCGACTGCAAGATCACGCACAGCAGTCGTCCAAATATATTTGGAAACGGTCAAAATATGCATTTCAGTTGAAATAGGATACCCGAAATATTTCGAGACTAGAAAACTTCTTTTACTTTGTGCAAAGTGAAAAAGAGAAAAACTTCATTAATAAAGTTCCAGGATAAATTAGAAATTGACACTGAAACTTACGCTTCGGTAAAATTTAATATGGGAAGTAGGTAAGAGATGATGAATGCTCAGCCACAACAAGTGTAAATTTTTTTTCAGTTATACATAAAAATAAAAATTTTCTACTATTACTGCTACTACTAATAATAGTTAATAACAACAACGTATTATAGATGTCTATGCCTACAGCGCAATTTGAGTAACACTGCTTATATTTTGAAGGCACCAGCAGCGTCATATGAAGAAACAATAGTTAAACACCTAAAGGAATCTATAGCACATTGAGTTTTCTGAACATCTGTAAAGCGCCAATAAAGCTGAAAATATTAATCAGAAAAATTTAGAAAATTAAAAAGAAAATATTATATTAATCATCATTATTTTAAGAAAGCCAACATTTACGACATATTTCACGAGAAAATTTAAACTAGGTTACAAATTTCTTATATTTCTTACGTGTGAAAAATTTTGCATTGTAAGATACAAAAATAACCCGAAATATTCTAAAAACAGAAATTAAATACGTGCATCTATCTACCTTAGGGAGTCTCGAGCTGTTTGTCGTTGGAGTATTCTCATTTATTTGGACATCCTTGTAATCAATTTTCCATAATAGGCTATCAAGTTCCTGCTCATAAGCCCAGTTCCTAAGAGAAACAGAACTTTAAATTACTACATCACACAAGTTAATTCATTTGAGGGGAAACAAAGGAATATATTGAAACACTTAAGGACCGCATCTGTTGACTTAAAAATGACATTTAATGAAATGCCCCCCCCCAGATCTGATCTGATTTTCCTTATCATGGAATAGGCGAAAGGAAAACCTTTATGATTATATAAGCAAATCTGATCAGTCTGTAAGTCTATCAAATCTGATCAGTCCGCCTAGGCTAGAAGCCTTACCCCATGCAGAACATTGGTTATCTTTACGAACGTTAATAGTAAATAACCGATAATTGGTATTGAAAAGGATTTATATATATATTTGTATTATTAAGTATTTTCGTAAATTTTGAGTTTAAAATTCAATTTAAATTCTTAATGAAGAGTGGGAATAGCAGATGTAAAGTTTAGGGGCACAGGGCCGTCGAGCTGGTGACTACCTGAAATAAACAGGTTAGTGGCATGTTATGTAATGTTAAGTGTGAGTAATGACATCTCGAATCCATGATGGCAAATATAAGGAGATTAAAGGGTTATATTACATAGTTGTAGAGCAGAAATAAGCATAATTACAAAACAATAATAAATTTAAGCAGAAGCACAGAGGCATAGGGTTGCAGCATAAAAATAAAATATGACATAAGCATTAAGCACAAAAAATAATCATTGGCAAAGATTAAACAAAAACAGATATTAGTGACTGAGTTACATAATCCAGGGTTGAGGATGGCCAAAGGACGGTTAGTGTTAGCAAAGTCATTGGGGTTGTAGTTGGCAATTTTAATAGGAGAGTTGTTGATGGTGTTCTGTTTGGCATGGAATTTCTTGGCAATTTTATTGTAATGGGATCTACGTTGACAGATTGTAACGGGATACGTTGATTTCTAATATACCACTGTGCATTTGTAATTTGTCTCAGTGTGCTATTTTGAGCAGTTTGTAATCTTTTTCTACAGTTACTATTAGAGTACGCCTATACAGGACAGGCGTAACAAAGTAATGGTCGCAAGATGGATTTATAAATGAGCAACTTGTTATCTATAGACAAAATGCTGTTTCGAGTAATTAAGGGGAAGAGTCTAGCTTTGCGAGCTCGAAACTTCTGTATGATAGCTGTAGTGTGTGGGGTCCATGAGAGAGTTTTAATGAGGGTCATCCCAAGATAAGGGACTTGCTGGGCCCAGGGGATTGAAGTTCCATAGAATGAGACATTTTTCTTGAATTTTTGTTTCCTTGTGAACATGATGGCCTGCGTTTTGTCCACATTTACTTGGTTTTTCCACTTAACGAGGCAAGTCTCTAGTAAGTGTATGTAACTTTGTAACTGTTGAATGACTGAACCAAGGCATGGAAATATTTTGGCTATTCTCTCTTAAAGCTGTTATTACGCTCGGCCGTACTCAGGCCCTTGATAGCTTCGCAGTCAATTAGTTTTAAGGGGCCAACTCGGTTAGAATCTTGATAGCTTCGGCTATATCTCTTTAGATTAGTTTTAGTTTATTTCTTAGCCTCTTAAGTTCAAGCCCAAGTGTCGGCTTTTATTGTACACTCCAAGATGGAGTTCTGTTAAATCTCATTGCAATAATAAAGGGTTATTCACCCTTCAATCTAGTTGTTTCTTGTCACACGAGCTCAAGCGATTATTCGCTTAACAGCTCTTAAGATTCTTTCCGTTCAACAGCAACTTAGCCTTTACAAAGTGAGGAACTCTACAATGTAAATTCCTTTTTTCTTCTTTTTTACGATGTATTTCGATTGCCGACGCATATATCTTGCATGCATTTATATGCTTTGCTGCACACTTAAACATTTCGTTTTAAAATATCATTATATTTCGTCTATAATGATATCTGTTCTGCAATAAATATTTGCTATTGGGAGTCTTTCAATTACAATTTAACAATAAAAAAATTATTACTAAAACTTTAGAGTGAAAAAAACGATTTTGCGCCAATTATGTATCGTTTGGTTTTTATATTGGCGTTCAAAAGTAAGGTCACACCACAAAAGACCGAGTTTCGTCTGGAATCGGCTGAAACACATGCTGCTAGTCGCCAAACGTAAAAGAACTTACTTTGTGTATAGTTTGCATTAAAATTGTTGTTCAGGTTCAGAATCGAAGTTCTGAGAGAACTCTCTAACTCTCATCTCTTGATGGCGGTAAGTATTTAATACCATGTATAGATCCTGGTGCTGTGGCTCTTAGACGACCTAGGATGTCCTGGTGATGGTACAAGTAAGTTGGAACTGCCACCCTAACCTTAATATCTTCATTTACTCGCAACCATAAAGCGATATGGGTGTATACTGGCTAAATTGAAACCTACCAATGGGTCTTCCATCTCAATTCCTGCATAAACGAATGCAAGAATTCATTTTAACTGAAATAAGTCAGTTTTGTTATTTTTCATTTTAGAAATCCAATTATCTTGACCAATTTCAAATATTCGGGTTGTAGGTTGTAAGTTTTATTTTTAATTAACCGGGTTTTTTCTTTAACTTCTACTTTCGTTGACTTCCGTCAGTTTCGAGGTCTTAAGGTTTTCAGAGAACACTTGGCACCATAGGTTCGCCATCCCTCTGGTTTAGTTTCCTGCTGATACGATGTAACTTGTCGGAGTACGATTCTTTCGAGACCGATTAGTCAGTTTTAGCGATTAGTCATTAGTCAGATTAGCGATTAGTCAGAGCGATTGCACTCTGCATAACTTCCTATCAGAATGAGTTTTTAGCATCGTGTTACATGTAAATAAAGTAGAGAGAATACATAAAGAAAGTTTCACTTCACTCAGCAGAAAAGCTTAGGAGCCCCTAGTGACGCGTGTTTGCTGTCAGGCAATTTCGTTGTAAAGTCATTACGCTTGGCCGTATTTTGCTTTGCGTGCCTACTAATATTATAGCTGGCTAATTTAATTTAAGGGCCATTTACGTTAGGTAATTGTGTACAGCTTCGGCTAAGACAGTTTAGTTTAGCTTCAGATTAGTTTCTTATTTTTTTATCTTGAGTTTAAAGCCTAAGTGGAAGCTTTTCTGTAAATCCGAGAAGGGTCCAGAGAAAGGTTGAAAGAACTTAGTCGTTTTCACATTTGCATCAGCGATAAGTCACTAGATGCTTCAACAAATTTCTGCTATGTTCAGCATAGACAAAGTAATTAGCAACACTGCAAATATTTGTATCTTGTAAACCAAAAATAATTCTCAACACTATTCTATTGTTAGTGCAAACTTTATATACGAAATTTTAATATTATTAAAAATCTAAATAGTAAATTTAAATATTGAAATAATTATAAGATTGTAGAGAGAGGTTATTTCGAAGCAGGAGAGATGAAAAATGAGCAATGCCCTCGCCGGTACTCGAACCACGGACCTCTCGAATACGCCCCGAATGTGCTGACCACTGCACCGCGAAGTGGGTGTATATTAAGAAGGCGAGAGAAATACCTTATAAGATAATAACACATATTTTGATGAAACTGAAACAAGTTTGTATATATTTCTTTCGAAGAATCCAATTTTAAAATCGGAGTGTCTTCATCCACTTGCTGTGCAAATTTTATGATTTAAATAACTTAAATGGAACTAACCTGTAAGTTATCAGCAAAAATATCAGCAACACTGCGGTTGTAATTCCGATTACAAATATGGCAAGTTTCCACACTATAAAAAGAAAAGAAATAATTTATATCGCTGAGATTATTGAAGTATGTATTGAAAAAATTACTTAATGTCATGAATGATAACGAGTTTCATCTAAAAATCTGGTATTCTCCTGAAAACATTCTAGAAGTAAGTAAAAAGCAGTAAGATTATTCTGTATACAATGAAAGAAAATTACAGTAGACAATGTGTGATCTCGATGTGATCACGTTTGTCCACGGCTATTTTGGTAATATTAACCGAATGATAACTTTAAACGACGAGAAAAAATAATCCATCAAAATACAATGGAGATTAAATAATTTAATATAAATATAATTAGAAGCATATGAATAGGTATTTTCGGAGCATTTTTAATTGGGAAAATGCAAAATTAGTTTATGACCCATTCATAATGTCTTTTAAATGCAAAAGTTCATTTATGGCATGTTCATAACGTTTTTGGAAATTATTTGATCTAATTGCTCTGTCTAATCAATTCCTAATCTTAATGTTAGAAGGGCATCACTTACTGGAACTTGCAATATAAAATTTTAAATTAAACAGAAAAGCAACCGTAGTTTTGTGTGAAAGTTTAATAAGAATTTTGTTTTCAGGGCTGGGACAATCTGCAGAATTTGTTTGCTCCTGAAAAGAGGGACCTCTGTCTGATCACCCTCAAAACTCAAAAGATAAATAAAAACTGATAGAGTTAGTGAAAATTTTCAGCAGTGTAAGGCTGTTATTTTCCTTGTTTTTAAATGATTGACTAGAAACTTGACCTTGCTGTTTGGCTGCTTTATCTCTTATTTGGGAATATTTCTCTGTCATCTGAAAATTTTTATAATCAATTTTGAATTTATTTGGTGACTTTATTTCAATTAAATATTTTATTGTCTGATATTATGATCATATTGATCAAATGTTGATCATAATAAGGACTATATCTTCCATATTCCTATATATAAACTGATGTGACTTCAACAATTTTATAACAATATCTGAATAATAATAATATTAACGGAGATCACATGTATCACATATCTATTGTATAACGTTCCTCAACTCATACTCTTGTGATGTAAGCTGTTCGTTCAGCAAGCAAGCAGTAAGTTCCAGGGCAGAACTAGTTTTCTCACGTTTGAATGTGCTCTGAAAAATTTAAACAGTCTCTATCATAATGGCACCCGAACTAAAATATAGTGGACAATAACTCGCTACTGGCTACATTTGTTCGAGAAGACCTGCTGCCTCTTCCAAAACTCTTTTTAAACAGGGAGTAAAGAGTTATCACCTTACTCCGTTCTTATTTCGTAAAGTAAGTGGTTAGCACGTTCAGATAGCAAATTGGGCCCGACTCGCATCGTGTAATTGGTTAGCATGACCAGCTAGCTAAAGCCCATAGCTCTAACAAACACAGATTGTTTCTCACGTTTTCTGGCTTGAAAACATATTATAACGTCTATAAATGCACAAAATTTTAATCTGTTATTAAGTAAAACTAATAAAATTTTTACTTAAGCTAGTTGTAGCTTTATTTTCATAATAACTGCATTTCCTATCTTTTATTTCATTAAAACCTGACTAAACGCATTTCAAAAGGAATATATAAACTTCTGACAGAAAAACCAACTTTTTTCCTTAGTTAATTATAAGTGGAAAATTGAGGACTTTTTTTCCACCCCTGAGACACGTTTAGCTTTTTCTTTCTTTTCTTTGTGCGTTAAATTTAATTGCATTTCATTGTTAAACATTTATCAAGAGTTAAGATCGTTCTCTATTTTCATTCTCCCTTTTTCTACATAATTAATAAAAATAGCTCTTAGATAATTACTTGAATTACTTACTTATTTTGATTTGGAGCTGAAATTAGGGAATTAGGTCTCAAGAATCAGAAGTAGATTACAATGTCCTAATCTTCAGCTTATTAAATTAGTTATTAAGTGACTATCTCAAGACTACTTAAGAATACATATTTTTGCTTAGTTGCAGAAAAATAAGCAGAGATATGCATTTTTACGTATCTTTAGTCAAATGCATTTATTAATTAAACTATTCTTTAGTTTCGATTCAGTTATAACACAGTATATTAATAGAGAATGAATTCTGGGAAATTTTTACCGGTATAATAATAATAATTACCAGAGCTCACATTTATTTCCTTTGAGAATACATCTCATATTCAATATGCATTTTTAACGTAATTAAAGTTCTTTTGAATTGCACAGAAGGTTTTTTAAATAGTCTGTGAAAATTTAAAAGTTTGCAGAGATACTTTCAATTTTGATTTTAAAATTACTCTGATTGTCAGTAATAACTAACATTTTGAAGGAACTTGGATTTCAAACTAAATTATCTTATAGCTTTATTTTCTTTTCGCTTAAATGAAAAGCTCAAAAGGATCTGACTTTATATAATATGTATAAATATGACCGCTTCGCTTCGTTTCATAGTTTTATTTCCTGAAATCAAATAAAATCTTTAACACAGCAGAAAATCTTATTGAGAAGGAAATTCATACCTTAGAAATTCTGACCGTAATATCTTATATGAAAAAGACGAAGAGGGAAAAAAAAAACATGAGAGTAGTGTAGACGCTCTCAGATGATCTTATGATCTTACAAAGTTAAAGGGAAACTCTTCTTCCTTCCTGTCTCCGAAATGTGAAAAATAGGCCAAATTGTTTCCCTGTCCACATGTAGTGCGTTTTATTTCACGAGTGGAAGTGCATCCTTCAGCACTAAATTTAGGACAATTTATCAAACTCTGTTATGTCTATTCTCTCTCGGCTTATTCATGTAGAATTAACAAAAAGCAAACGTAAACTGTCCGGAATAATGTACTGAGGCAAATAACTAATTACCAATTGGTACATAAGAAATAATGTAATTCACTAAGGACTCAAAATTATCAACATAAAAACCCATTATTATCACATAATCAAAAGACCCATTATTATTACATAATCAAAAGACTTCATGGAAGCCAAGGGCGAATGGATATTCATTCGCGCCTGTAGTTAAAGTTTATAATTATGACTTTAACGATCAAAACAATATCAAACGGTCAGTAACCACCACTAGTTATATAAAGTTGATTATATATATATATATAACTATGTTACACTTAGTAATGGATAAGTGTACTCTCTGATTATGTATCTTGTATATTTTCTGTATTCCAACGGCATCATTTTGATTCACGCTTTCCTTATAATAGACTGATTACTAGTTCGGCAGCTTTCTGCTCAAAACTTACTTATGTGACCCCTATTGTTTCTCTTCTCCACATTACTTTCCAGATTTTACTTCACAGATATATATCTGATAAGTTATTTTTATTAAAAATTTCGAAACTTGATTCGATTAAGAAAAGAGCGATGTAGAAAAAAAGAGATAGAGGGCGCTGCGCCGCCCGTATGTTTAGCTAATTAAGAGTTTCGGGAGAGAGGGTTGAGAGGTTGATGAGAGTGGTTGAGAGTGACATAAACTAGATACTCTGTAATCTGTATATAATATTTGTACATAGTCTTCTCTTCATTAAATAGATTTAGTTAAAGGAAAGTGTCTTTGTTTGGCCAATAGAACACAAGAACCACCGATAAAGAAGATGTAAGTAAGTTATTACATACATCAAGTTTTGGTAGCATCAGGCCAGAAGGTGAGTCATTTCATTTTATCTGCATGCAATTTATCTTTGATAATGAGTTTTGAAGAAACCGTCGAGAGAAATAGAAAAATTAGAGGTTCGGTTCGTACCAGTGTAACAAAATTAATAAGGAAATTAGATGAGGAATTGCAAAGCGAGAATCCGAACCTAGAAGTGTTGCAGGAATCGCTTTCAGTGTTAATCGAGAGAGAAAGTAGCTTGTTAAAATATGATGAAGTTATTAATTCTCAAAGCACTGTTCAGGAATTAGAGACAGAAGTAGAACATTGTTTAGAATACAGCGAATCCATCATTAGATGTAAATCTAAAGTCAATAGATATATTCAAAATGTGGGTAAAACCGGAACAACTTCACAAGTTTCGGAAATCAAAACTAATTATAATACTAAATTGCCTCGCATTACCTTAGAAACTTTCAGCGGCGATTATGTAAATTTACTGAATTTTGGGCTCAGTATAAAGCTGCCTTTCACGAAAACAATACGCTTCAAGATGTTGAGAAGTTTAACTATTTAAGATCTTTACTCACCGGTTCAGCTGCAAAAGCTATAAGCGGATTGCCATTAATAGGAGAAAATATATAAAGGCCATCGAAATCTTAACTGACAGATTTGGGAAAAAAGAAATATTAGTTAGCGCGCATATGAACGTTCTCCTAGCTTTAGAGCCAGTACGCCGTTCAAGTGATGTATCCAGTTTAAGAAAACTATATGATAAAATAACAGTTCAAACAAATTAAAATAACAGTTCAAAAAAAGTTTAGAGACATTAGATATTAATTTTAATTCTTACGGCAATCTATTACTTCCTATTTTATATAAGTGTATACCGCAAGATTTAGTGTTACAGTTTAGTAGGGAGCAAAAGGTCGACACAGAGTCAACAGTCAGTTGTATTAACTGACACAGTGTCTAAAGAGTTGTTGTTTATTTATTATTATTTATTTATTGTTGCTTATATTTATTATTGTTTCTAAAGAGAGAAGTAGAAGCGCGCGAAAAGTCATTAACTCTGGGTCTTAAACAACAAACACTTTCCGATAACCAGTGAAAGAAATACCGACAACTATCGTAAGAGTGTTGCTCCAATTAAAAAGAAAATGGTATCAGCGGGCGACGCTTAATACATCAGTCGAAAATTATATGTGCGACTTTGTCTTAAATCTCACCTTTCTAAAGACTGCGACTTAAGTATTTCAGAGAAAACACAAGCATTATACGATCAATTTAAGTGCAAGCGCTGTTTTAAAAAACGGGTCACAAAAAACCTGTAATATTTGCAAATCTTTGTCGCATTTAGAGAGCCTGGTGATGCAGAAGGGCAAGAAAATAAATCCATTAAAAATACTGCGA